AAAAATAAAAAAAAAATAAATTTCCACCACAAAAATACTTAGAATTTACTTGTGTTAACACTCGAGACCACTATTAAATTATTATTAGAAGACTTCTATTTTCTACTTAAATTCTAGACTTTGTAAAAGTTATAAATACAAACTACTCATAAAAAATGCAATTCTTCAAAACTAAAGATTGCTAAATCTTTCTTACATGATATTTTTACTTTTAAGCTTCTGGTTATTTGTGTCAATATTGTATCTTTTTTACGATGCAATCATGTGCAATGGTTACGGTTACCAATTTTTTATTCTTCAAAACATAATATTGATAGAGCTGTTCTGAATAATCAAGTAGGAAATTGATTCACAAGTCCATTTTTTTCCTCCTTTTTATGTTCGTATCGTACTCTCACATTAGCTACTATTATGATTTCTTCTAAAGCACAATGGCAATGCCACCATGTTTGGATCATTGGATTCGAGCCCTGTCCCCTACCCCTGGGAAATTGTTGTGTCATCAAGCAAAAAAATTGTAGTAATTGTTTCATTAAAAAAATTATTATTAAAAAGCTAGTATTTTTTTAAAATTATAGTGTTAATGATGAAATATTACGTGGAAAAAAAAAAGAAGGAAAAATTATTAATGAAATCACAACGTAGAAAAAAAAAAGGTAGAGAATAACGAATTTCATCATTGCCTAAAAGCGGCAACCCATTTTCGGCTCTGTTGTTTGATGCGGAGAACTGTAAAGTTTGAACAAGGGAAATGTGCAGATACCTATATAAATTACTATCTTATTTAAAATTTAATAAAATTTACATTTTTAAATAAAAATAATGAAAGTTAAATTCTAATAGATACATTTTCTCAATTCTAAAATGAATATGTAGTTATTAATTAATCTTTCACTTTCTTGATTTATTCATTCATTTACATCTAGGCATGAGCTTCTTTTATCATTATTATTTTAATTTCCTCCTCTACTCTTTTTTTTCAACAACGACAATTATCTATTTTTATCATTACATATTTTTAATAAAGGTTGGGGGATAGAGAGTTGGGATTGAATACAATACACCTCAAAGGTATTTTCATTTATGTAACAGAGTGTTACCACTCTGCAAAGTACGTGAAGAACGATTCCCCTCTACTCCTTAGCTTCTGTTGTAGGCAAAGAGTGAGAACAAAAAGTAAACTAGTCATCACCTCAAGTAATGCAGAGAGAGGGAGAGCAGATTCATGGGATCCACGGTTACGAAGATTTTGACCCAAGTGCACCCCCACCGTTTAGGTTAGGAGATATTCGAGCTGCCTTCCCTAAGCACCACTTGATAAAAAATCCATGGAGGGCCGTGAGTTATGTAAGCAGGTACGTTCTTGTTATTTTTACATTGGTGGCAGCAGCACTATACTTTGATAATTGGTATATTTGGCCCTCTCTATTGGGTTGCCCCGAGTACAATATTTGTGGCCCTGTTTGTTCTCGGACATGACTGGCAATCACATCTATACTACCACTGCATTGTCTTAAATTTTCACTTATTCATTATCTTCTGTAATCTTTATGCTGAAGTAAATGCGCTGTATTCTTGATGTTACAGTGGTCATGGAAGTTTTTCTGATAATTGCACCTTGAATACTATAGTGGGCCAAATATTGCATTCGTCAATTCTTGTACCTTATCATGGATGGTGAGTTATAATTCTATCTTCATTTATCCTTCAGTTTCTTAAAGTCAGATTAATAACATTACTGAAATCTTTCAGGAGGATAAGTCACATGACTCACCATCAAAACCACGGACATGTTGAAAAAGATGAGTCATGGGTTCCGGTAAGTGATTGTCTATATGCTTGCTTCTGTCAAATGTACCATTGCTACAAATTCAAATCTGAATTTTTTTCTCTTTTCATTTTGCTTTCAGCTGCCTGAGAAGATCTACCGGAGTTTGGAAATTAAAACTTGAAATTTGAGATTCACTTTGCCTTTCCCCTTGTTTGCATACCCTTTCTTGTAAGACTGTCGATTTTGTTGGACTTTTATCTTAGATTAAAGATTCATATTATTATGCTCCCCTATAGTATATGAAGCTGAATTTGTCTCTTTCCTTACACTAGTGGTATAGAAGTCCGGGAAAGGAAGGATCACACTTCAGTCCTTATAGTGACTTGTTCTCCCCCAAAGAAAGGAAACTTGTGATGATCTCAACTGCCTGTTGGATACTAGTTACTTTGCTGCTTGGACATTTGTGCTTCCTGATAGGTACAATCCAGATTCTTAAGCTGTATGGTGTTCCTCATTGGGTCAGTAGATCTGTTTCTTTACCATGCGACTTTGTGGAACCACATTAATATTGTTTTCATGGCGTAATGGCATAATGGCATAATTGCATTTATATTTACATTAATATAGTTACATTACTATTGTTTCTTTGATGTTAATGTACTCCCTGGCCTTGAATTTCAGATTTTCACGGCACGGTTTGATGGTGTCACTTATTTGCATCATAATGGCTATAAGCAGAAACTTCCCTGGTACAGGGGCAAGGTAATTTCTTTTTTTTTTTTATCAGCACAGGGGCAAGGTAATTAACCAACCTAGATGCGTGAAATAAACTTCAACTATATGCTATTAATCCAAACAATTCATATATGATTTTGGCATTTGAATCAAATTTTATAAACTCAACAAGGCCTTGTTGCTCTCATGACAGGAATGGAGCTACCTGCGAGGAGGGCATAAGACAGTAGACCGAGATTATGGCCTGTTCAATAACATCCACCATGACATTGGCACTCATGTCATACACCATCTTTTCCCTCAAATCCCACACTGTCACCTAGTAGAAGCGGTATGTTATAAATTTCATGAAACTAAATAAAATATAGATTTATTTTGGAGTTAGTTGTTATAAAGTTATAATGAACTGATATTGAATACTCCATTGCAGACTGAGGCAGCTAAAGCAGTGCTTGGAAGGTACCACCGGGAGCCATAAAATTCAGGGCCTCTTCCTTTTCATTTACTCAAGACTCTAGTGACAAGCCTTAGGGAAAATGAGCGACATTGGAGAGATTGTTTATTATCAAACCGATGAGGCCCGGTATAACTTCTAAATACCAAGTCTGCCTGAATGTTTCAGACCAAATAGCAGCGGCATCTTCACTTGTTTCAGAGTTCAGAAATAAATTATACATGAACTCTGTCAGCTAGTGTAGGAGGAAGAAAGATTTTAAACGTTGTTTTGTAATAAATTTAAGTCCAAAATAGTTTAGTAAGACATAAATTTATGCTTCTAAGTTTAGATTTTTTTTTTTTTTTTGAACAAGGAGAATTTTGAGGATGTGAAAAGATTTTGGTATAAAACTCAAGACACTACTGTTTTGATACTCAAAAAAAATAACAATTAGGTCATTTAGCGTCGGATGTTTAGAAATTTTATTTAAGTAACAAAGTAGAGAAGTTTTTCATTTTTATGCAGCCTTCTTTACTTGATAACATTGTTGCAAGTAGTGTAACTAAGCCTAAATCACAAAAATCAAAGCTACATACTTTGAACTAACAGGCAAAACTTAATATAAGACAACTTAGGATGGAAGAATAGAAAATTTAATGTAACATTTATCAAAATTTGCCTCTTTACCATTAATTTATATAGAAAATCCCATTAATATTTTATTATACAAAAATGTCCTTCTGCAATTATTGGGGCCCACTTCTCTCTATCTGCAGTTCGGTTCACTTTGTCCTTGCATAAAAATAATTTGAGTTAATGTCCTTTATTGGGAATAGAGGTATACTTGGTGTCCTAGCAAGAAGGTTTTGCCATTACCCATTATCCTCTTGGGTATTTGCCATTTGTGCAGACGATGAAAACGAATATCCCTCGGCTGTGTCTTTGATTCTTCTCAGAAATATACATGTAGAAGACAACACTCCATACTTAGCTCTTCTCTTCTCTTTCTCTTCTCTTCTCCTCTTCTACCCAAACCCTAAACTCTCTTCTTCCTAACTCTGTTTCTCTCAAGGTAAGTACTCTCTTCCGCTGGTTCTGTATTACCCCTCTTTTCTTTTCCAGTTTTATTGATTCTTTCATCAATTTATCTGATACCTAGGATTCCATATACGAAATCTATTGTTGATGTTCTGGGTTCTTACCTGTTGATGATGGGTCAAGTTTGTTTTGCTGTGATCCTTTTCCTAGTTAGTGAAAGTTCTGTTCTTGACTTCTTGTCCATAAAGGTGCAAATTGTGGATGCTTGTTAAATAGAAGGGTGTCGGTGGAGGCAATAGGTGTATCAACACTGAACTTTTACTACAAGAGAATGGTGGACTGTAGATTTTATCTTCAATTAGTGTCTTTGAATTACTGAAGTGGGTGTATATTATTAAACCAAGGAAGTAGAATTTCGTTTTAGAAAGAAAGGAAGATTATTTGTATCTGATTCCCAGGGTTTTGGGTGCTGTCTACAGTTTAGTAGCTAACTGTAGGACCGGAATACCGGAATCATTGATAGTGTTTGCATATTTTCAGCATTAAATTATTTTTCTAGTGTCTTCGCCTTTGGATTGTGAAACTGATTTTTTTTGTAAGCCAATTTGATATTTTGCAGGTGCATGTGCCTATTATTGGGTTGAACCAAACACTAACATGGCACATTTGTTGTCAACTTCAAGCTCTTTGAAGATCTCACCTGGCCACAAACCATACTGTCAACTGCTGAACCCAGTCCAAATATCATTTCCTACTTCTCTCACGTTTCAAACTTCCAAATCTGCCTTCAAAAGGCTTGTTTTTCAAGGAGACAGCAGAGGAAAATGTTTTAAGGTTCAAGCAACTGCTGTACCTGTAAGTCAAGAAGTCTCAGCAAAATCCAATTCTGGGCCTCATCAGTCCTCAAATGAGTCTTCAAAGCCTCAACGGGTCATGGTCGTTGGAGGAGATGGCTACTGTGGTTGGGCAACTGCTCTCCACCTGTCTAAAAAGGGTTATGAGGTTGCCATTGTTGATAACCTTGTCCGCCGTCTCTTTGACCACCAGCTTGGACTTGATTCCTTGACACCCATTTCCTCCATCCACAACCGCATCCGTTGTTGGAAGGATATCACTGGAAAGACTATCGAACTTTATATTGGTGATATTTGTGACTTTGAGTTCTTATCAGATACCTTCAAGTCATTTGAACCTGATGCTGTTGTACATTTTGGGGAACAGCGTTCTGCTCCTTATTCCATGATTGATCGATCAAGAGCTGTGTTCACTCAGCAGAATAATGTGATTGGGACACTGAACGTTCTCTTTGCAATAAAGGAATACAGAGAGCAATGCCATCTTGTGAAGCTGGGAACAATGGGAGAGTATGGAACTCCAAACATAGATATTGAAGAGGGTTATATAACGATTACTCATAATGGAAGGACAGATACCTTGCCTTATCCTAAGCAAGCAAGCTCTTTCTATCATCTTAGTAAGGTTCACGATTCACATAATATAGCCTTCACTTGCAAGGCTTGGGGAATCAGAGCCACCGACCTCAATCAGGGAGTGGTTTATGGGGTGAGGACTGATGAAACTTCAATGCATGCAGAGCTCTGCAACAGATTTGATTATGATGGAGTATTTGGAACAGCATTGAATCGGTTTTGTGTTCAGGCTGCCGTAGGTCATCCACTTACTGTTTATGGGAAAGGAGGCCAGGTAAGACATTTTTATTGAGAAATATTCTTTGTTGTTTGTGTTTCATCCAAAACTTCTGTTTGTGCATTGATGCTGGCATCCTGCTGCTCGGTTTGAACTCAGAGATGCCATTCATTTAGGCTAATTTGTGTTTGACTGTATTGGTAGAATGGTATTTCTCTCGTTACTTGTAAGTATCTCTGATATTTTCTATTTTCCAATCCAGACAAGGGGTTACCTTGACATAAGAGACACAGTTCAGTGTGTTGAGCTTGCCATTGCAAATCCAGCACAGCCTGGTGAATTCCGGGTCTTCAATCAATTCACTGAGCAATTTTCTGTAAATCAACTTGCGGCCCTTGTTACAAAAGCAGGAGGGAAGCTTGGTCTTGATGTTCAAACAATATCTGTGCCCAACCCAAGAGTGGAGGCAGAAGAACACTATTACAATGCTAAGCATACAAAACTCATTGAGTTGGGACTCAAGCCACATCTTCTCTCAGACTCTCTTCTGGACTCATTACTCAACGTTGCCATCAAGTTCAAGGATCGTGTTGATGAGAAACAAATCATGCCCAGTGTTTCTTGGAGAAAAATAGGAGTGAAGCCGAAGACTGTGAAAGCCTAATTAAGTGTTCCACAGAGGAGATGCCTGAAAGTTTCTCACTCAAGTTGTTCTGTGTCATGTGTCTGTGACTTCTTTGGCAGATGCTCTTATATCGGTTTTGGACCTAGTGTGGTCTCTGATTTGCCCTTTGTAGACTAAAATTGAGTAATCAGATGTCCAGTAGAGGAGTATTACTAGCGTTCTTGTGTACAGCACTGCAGGGTTCTTGGTGCGGGAATTAGACAATAGAGCAAATATGGTATGTGTGCTTTAACTGCTTTTATATTAATTGGGTGAGAAATAAACTTCCATTATTACAGATGCTAGATTCTTGTTTGTTCCCTATGAAATTTTCCTGTGAAAAAATTGAAGACCTGATCACATATCAATGAAGCAGAATAATAATGGATTTCAGAACAAAGTTACACAACTTAAATAGGTTAAAGACAGAATTTATATACTGTAGTTTCAAACTTTCATGGCTTCTCATATTTTAATACGAGAGTTTACAATGAGAATATAATCTACTAATTCATAAAACATATGAGATGTTGAGTGTACTAGGTCGAGCGGTACAAGTTGCAGCATTTCTTTAAGTGTGCACCTCATTCACTGAGAATGTAGAATTTATATCCGTTTTAAGCTAGAATTGACACAGCATTAGCACCTAATGAGATCCAAAAATTTCAGGCCTTGTTCACATTAACGCAAATGTATATGCTCTGAAGCTATCAGATTCGGGATTTGATCACATTCATTGCTCTTTGTGATCCTGACTGTGTCAGGGGAACTTTGTTCTCACAAGAATCTCCCCTTATAAAGTTGACGACAATTGTGGCTAACTCATCTTGATGTGATGTATATTCATGATCAGCCCCTTCCATTATATGTAGTTTATGGTTGTGTATGAACTTGGCAAACTCTAAGGCGTCTTCAGCTGGAACAATTTTATCCATGGATCCATGAATTGTCAAAACCCTGTGGAATAAAGTATTGACACTCAATATACAAGCAAGGAAACCAGAACAACCATGTATAATGTATTAACTGAAGGATGCAAAAATCATTCACTTTGAGTGCAACGTGTGAAGTCCACTGAGAAGTATAGGAAGCTATAGCCATGAGGATGGATATTCTTCTCGTGTTTCACAATGACAATAACTGCCCCCATCCCCAAAATTAAGCCATGAAAACTGAGGAACCCCTTTTCGAAAGGCATGATCCAGGGTTTGAACACAAGAGAGGCACAGCCTCCAAAAGGACAGGTGACACCAAACCAAGGCCAACTGATCAACATAAGATGAATTTTGCAATTTTTGGTTTCACTCTCTAACCTGCAGTCCTGATGAATCAAACCACATGCTGCACATGTATCAGTGGTTAACCGGTCAATCAAACTTTCTTCAGTCACACGATATTCAAACTTTCCTGTGTAAAAGAAATGAAAAATGGTGAATTGGCTAATTTACAACCCACCCCCTCCCCCGTCTCCCAAAAAAAAAAAAAAAAAAATCCTAGTAACCTAACAGCAGCTCAGCTACAAATTTTATGTAAATGTCATTGACAGATTTGTGCAACTATAAACATTTGAGAGCTCACCTTTTCTGTTCTTGACATCAATAAACCCATCTTGTTTGATTCTTTGCAAGAAATCTTTTCCTAAGCGACCTTCCATACCTCTCTCTAGATTGAACCGGCCAGAAATATTGACAACTATGGGTACATCATTATACTTTGACGCATAAAGAAGAACAACATTTCCTCCTGCATGAACCATTTTAAGAATGTAACTTAAACAGCTGGAAGAAGAAAAGTTTATACCCAATGTAATGATTTCAGCCATCAGACAGTAGATTTCCTACGCTGGTTATGAGAAAATTTTAAACTTGAAAATGAGCAAACTGAGACTGTGCCTGAGACCCAATTTGAGTTTAAGTGAACAAACCCTTAATCCCCCTCAGTCCCCTCAGTTAAGAATATTTATTTTTGACATTTTTTTACATTTTAGACAAGCCAACAACAATTGCTCCATTTCCTTTCCATGAAAAGTTATTTGTAATTATATGTTAAGCAACCTTTACTGTGTCCAACAATTGCAGATATTAAACGTTGCTCCTGGCAAAAGTGTAGAATAACAGCACGCAAGTCCTCCGTTTCTCTGTGATAGTTACCATAGTGAAAGGAACCTTCACTTTCCCTTAAGAGAGCAAAAAAACATCCACATCACAGTTCACATCAGTAAAAAGCAACTTTCATTTATCAGTAAAAATATTTAGCTGCACCTAAAATTGTAAATCTTTCACACAAGCTGCTCCATTTAACTGTTTGCTTCTTGCATAGTGATGAACTTACCCATTACCAGCAAAGTCAAAGCGAAAAGCACTAATCCCTTCCCTTTCTAAGGCGAGAGCAAGGTTCTTCATAGGTATCCGTTCCTAGAGAAGGGCAATTTCATGTCATTCATGAATTGGTTCTACCTAGTGTTCAATTCAAAATCAGGCTTGTGAAAATAAGAGCAACATATACTACAGTTCTACTTGTATCATTAGTTCAACTGAGCTACCACTTTCCTCACATTCTCATGAGACAAAATTAGACAACGTCAAAAAAGAAAAGAACAAAGGTTTTAGAAAAGTTAAAGGCATATTTGAGAACAAACCAAGGAAACAGAAATACGAAATAAAAAGGATATATATATATATATATATATATATATTTTTTTTAACCAAGAGGTTTTGGTCTGCCGCCATTCAATACATTCCCCTGAATCCTCCCCAATCCCCTCAACCAAAAATATTGAGATAGAGATAAATTTGTCAATTTTTTTCATGATCTGAAAAATTACAATAGACAAGCAAATTTATACCATCAAATCATAAATCACAATCATGCATGTTAGACATAAGGTTTACTAACCTTTGATGATTGAAATCCATGGCAAATGATAACAACCTCCTTCGAACCAGTTTCATGTAATATTCCCACAAGATTTTCCCCATGGCTGTTTTGTACCACAACTCTCACTTGTTGGACTGTTTATATAAAAATGAGATAAGATACCAGAAACAATCTAGTAGTCTCATGAAGGCATATACACATAAAATGAAAAAATATCACAAATTCAACCACATATACAAAGAAATTACTAACTAAACTTTTCAGAGCTTAGGTAAATCATTAATCAAATTCCACTGCAGACTGACTGGAAATATCATGGTCAACATCAGAAAACATCCTGCATGACAATCCCAGACAGAAGTTGCAGCAATGAATTCATCTGGAGAAACTAACATTTAATTATTACAATTCAAAAGAATTATGTAAAAGTTAGCAAATTTCCCCGATAATAAACCCAAGAACAAGTTTTTAACATCTAAATTTGAGATTTTTTGAGAAAATAAAAATCGTTGCTTTTTCATTCAATCAATGAAGTAAATTTTGGGTGCTTGAAGAACAAAATTACCTACCTGAGTTATGGGGTCCGTCGTGAGTTTGATGCCGGCGAGTCATGGAAACGTTTGTGCTGCCGGCCGATTGAAGGCGGGTCGGTGCGGTCGGCGCTGATTCAAGGCAGATTTTCTATTCTGTTAATTAAATAAAAATGGGAGGCAATCGAAACGAAAATTTTGTTTGCCAGGAGGGTATTTATGTCTTTAAACAATTCAGCAATATTTCAATTTACTCCATCAGGGTTAGATCAGAGTTGTTGAAAATTATCACGGTAACAATGGTTAACATGACTTCGTTTTTGACAGTGTTATGCTGTAATACTGTAATCATAATTTTTTTCTTCCGAGGATTAAAAATATCTGATCTTTATGTACCTAATTACATGGCCAAAATGAGTCGAAGTTTTGAGTTTAATGATTCATTTTTTATCAACGATCTAAGTAATTTAATGGTTATTCTTTTTCATTAGAAATAAAAGATTCTGAATTTGAGTCGTATAATATATGAGTAAAATGAAATAAAAGATAAAAAATAATTACTTATCATTGTGCAACCGATCATAAAAAAAAAAATTCATTTTCAAATAATTTTTTACTCACCCTTCAAATGGGAACACTTCCCGAATGTAATGCAATGTTGGACTTTATAGGATGACTTTCCCCCCTTTCTCCTAAAATATTATGATTATTTATAAATTTATTAAAAGAATTACAAAGTTTAAACTTGAAAGTATAAAAGTTTTGTTGATGCATATCTCATAATTCCATCATGATGTAGTTAATTGGAGAATATTTGTTCATGGCTTACGCTTCCATCATGATGACTCTGTTAGTTGCGGAGGATTTCTTCATGCTTCTTGTCATTTGGCGGCATAATTTGTTTACGTTCTATGATTTAAAAATTCTTCTTTTTTCTTAGATTAGTAGGGTTGTGAACATTACTACTCATATTTTTATTAAGTCTACGTAATTTTATTAATATTAAATTAATATAGTTATAAAAAATAATTAATAATTAATAAAATAATTAATATTTATTATTTATCATATTAAAATTAATTTATTGCTCCATCAAATAAATTAATTTATTGTCAAAATTTTTCAAATATCATAATTAACAATTAAAAAAACTATAAATTAAGAAAATATTTGTAAAATTATATAATCTTAAAAAAATATATTGATGGTAATAAAGTAATAAACACTGCCGTGCAATACCCATCATTCATCAAAGTAAATTACATATAATTGAGGTTTTGGTCCTCAAACATTTCAAAAATTACATCGAAACCACTCGGGCAACATTAATTAGTGGATCTAAGTTAACCCAACTAAGTTTAAAATTGTCCATGAATGGAAGGGTCAGTGCTGGAAAAATAAATTTATGGAAGAAATTGAAGGACCAAAATTGAAAAGTTGAGGGAGGGAGAGGGATCAGCCGGTGTATCAAACAAAAAGGTGAAAAATGTAAAATAGCCAATTAGCAAAAATTATACGAGTCTTTCCCATTGCTAAGATCCAACAGGAGCTATGCTTTTGTATTTTGCTGCGGCAGTCGCTGAAGCAGCTGCCGCAGTATCGGTTTGTGCAACCGCTTGCTGGCTCTGTCGTTGTTCCTGCGGCTGGGAACTGACTTGGGCAAGCAGAGCTTTAATCTCATTTCCTGTAAGGGTCTCGCGCTCAAGCAGAGCATTAGCCAGGGCGTTGAGTTCTTTGCTGTGGGTGGTGAGAATAGTTTTTGCATTGTTATAAGCTCTGTCCAACAAGAATTTCACTTCTTTCTCAATCAGGAGCCTGGTCTCCGAACTCATGTTATTGCCATTGTCATTATAATTATGTGTCACTAGTCCAACTTCCTTACTCATGCCGTACTTTGTAACCATTGTTCTAGCAAGTCTAGTTGCACTCAAAAGATCTGACGATGCACCAGATGAAACTTCATTTTCTCCAAAGATGATTTCTTCTGCAACTCGCCCCCCCATGCTAACATCAAGCCTTGCGAGCATCTGCTTGCGTGAGATGCTAATTTGATCCTTTTCAGGCAACTGAGATACCATACCAAGAGCATTTCCTCGGGGTACTATTGTTGCCTTGTGAACTGGAAGAGCCTCATCAGTATAGATGGCAACAAGGGCATGACCACCCTCGTGGAAAGCTGTCATCCTTCGTGACTCATCTGAAATGAAAGCTGACTTTCGTTCACTTCCCATCAATATCTTGTCCTTTGCATACTCTAGATCAGCCATTGTGACTGCTTTGGCACCATCCATTGCAGCCTTAACAGCAGCAATGTTGACTAAATTGGCAAGATCAGCACCAGAGAACCCAGGGGTTCCTCTGGCAATGATCATTACATCAACATCTTCAGCCTTCAAGACCTGTAATTGCACCAATATATATGAATGGTCATTCATACACATCTAGGCATAATAATTCAAACAGCAATAACATATGGTCACCCTTAGCCAAATAAATTTTACAGCAATAGGAATAGAGCGTATGCCTGGTTGTCTACTGCCATAACAAACTATAATAGATGCTCCATTCAATCTTAAGGTCCCTGGTACTAATCTCAGCACCATTCAGGACCCGCAGGATCAGCACCAGCCATTTGTTGCCTCATGCCCAAACATGTAAAAAAAAAAGGGAGAGAAGAGAAAAGAAAAGAAGAGAAAAGAATTAAAAAAAAAAAAAAAAAACTTTTTATGAGAAAATATAATACCCTTGACATGTGGAGTTCCATAATTTGCCTCCGACCTTCCACATCTGGATTAGGAACAACAATGTGTCGGTCAAATCGCCCAGGTCTCACCAATGCCTTATCTAAAGATTCTGGAAAATTTGTTGCAGCAATCACAATAATTCCATCATTCAGTTTAAATCCATCCAATTCAACAAGCAACTGATTCAAAGTCATTCTCAGGTACTGCTGATCCTTAGCATTTCGTTTTCCTCCTATGGCATCTATCTCATCAATGAATATAATACATGGGGACCGCTTCTTTGCAGCAGCAAAAAGATCCCTCAACCTTCGAGCTCCCACCCCAACAAACATTTCTTCAAACTCGCTACCACTGCATGAGAAGAAAGGTACTCCAGCTTCTCCAGCAATAGCTCTTGCTAACAAAGTTTTTCCAGTCCCAGGTGGGCCAACTAGCAAGACACCTTTTGGAAGCTTCCCACCAAGTCGAGTAAAGCGCTATACCATGGAGAAGCACAAGGAAACGAAGGGGAAAAAATCAACCTTTCTATATAGGCAAGAAAATATAAAAGGGAAAAGAATCGTAAACTAGGGAAAGAAAAGAACAATACTTAAGATGAATATCATCTAAAACATTTATAGTGATGCTTGATGATTTAAATTTTGCAACAAATGTAAAGTCCATAATATTGTCTTTTCTGGTTTATGACTTGTAACCCAAATTAAAGTCACATAACAGGTCTTTGGGCTTATTAAACTATGGACACATTGTGAAGTCACCAAAGTCTATGTGGGAATGTGGATACTTATATGCATGCATGTTCGAGGAGAGAGAGAGGGTACAAGAGTTGTCAGATGCAACAAATAGAATACCTTAGGATCTCGAAGGTAGTGGACAATCTCTACTAGCTCTGCTTTTGCCTCATCAACACCCTTTACATCACTAAATTTTGTGTTAGATTCCATGGTAGGCTGCACTTCTTCATGTAAACCAAGTCCTGGTTTTTGAAAAATAAAAGAGAAAGAATTTCATTAATCCAGGAGATACACAGAACATATAATTAGAAGAAACGCTGTTAAATTAAGTTCTACCTTTGCCAATCCCCCTATCCTCAATGAGTGCTCCTACACCAGAAATCAACAGAAAGCCAAGTGCAATAGCCCGAATAGTACGCCACAACTGCTCCTTAAAATTACTTCCTCCTGCAGTCACCATATGAATAGGAGCACCAGAAGTTCCAAGGATACCATCTTTAGTAGGTTTTCCTACTTTCCGGAAAGCTGAAAGGCCTACTATACCTTGTCCCCCTCCTGCTGAGTTAGCAGCACCTGAAAATTTAGTATGCATCCTCAATAAACCAAAACTAATAATGGTACAAAAAAGAAGTGGCAACAGCAGAGAAGAAAATGACCTCACAACTGCTAAGCAGAGAATTAAGCAATCCATAAAATCAAAAACTAAATTTTATAGCTTCTTTTTAGCAAGAAGAACACAAACAATTATTCAGATTCTAATGACTCTGCTGTCTTTCCTTTTGATAGTCTGCAGGACTCTAGGGTCATGTTTGGAATGATATGTCAAGCAACGAGGGTCCAACTAACATTATCATGCTGACGGTAAGGCATATCTCCAAGCTACAACAAGGAGAACACCTTGGAAAACCACTCACCTCTCTGCAATGCCTTCAGCAACTCGCTTTCTTCCAACCTGTCAACTTTGATCAATGCTTTAACATATTCCGACAATGCGGAAGGATTAGAATGTAAAGATGGCTGACTTTCAAACATCCTAATCACAGCTTCAGGGTCATTTTGAAGGTAAAGCATTCGAAGCTCTGTTGATCCACCGGCTTCATCTGAATCACGCAATCTGCGACCAAAACTGCTAATATAGCTTGACTTAAACCTCTGCTGACCATGCAGAAGACTATTCACTGCATCAAATGAAAAAAACAGAAAGAGCTTGTCTTAATAATCACCAAGCAATAAGAGAGCCAAAAAAAAGCGAAGAAAAAAAGATGCACAAACCTCCACTGCCTCCATGATTGCTTGCAGAAAAATGGGTTCTAATCAGTAAAGTTTTTAACTGCCTCAAATCTGATTGATGCTTTGAAACCTGTTGAAACAAGAAGATGAAGTGCATTTTAATGGAAGATTTTAAAACTCAATCCGCTTCTCGTTAAGCACGGACTCGTAAATTTCAAAATTTTAGAGTGGAATAAAACAAATTTTCAGTTTCTCCCCTATGAAATCATGAAAAGGAATGAAATTTAAGCTAACCTGTGTGATTAGAGTTTTCCAAGCCATTGCCGAAGCAGGGAGCGAGAATGTCTGATCCTTCGAAGCTAAACTCCTCCTCTTGTTAGAAGTACATGGGCTGAGGGCTGAGACGAGGGATGATGGTGCGTTTGGTTGTCGAGAAAACGAAGGAAAATAGGAGCCGAGGTAGAGGGAAGAAGAAGAAGGTTCACGCGTGATTGATGAAAACAAGCAACGAAACAGAAGGGTGAGTTGCGACTTGTGAGATTTGAGGGTATGGCTTTGCCCCCTCTCCCTCTCCCTCACAATGAGAAGTTCTTTACTCGATATTTACGTTTCATGAATCGGCGAAATGCCCAATATACCCTTTTGGATATTTTGGAGATTTTGATTTAACCATTTTTGTAATTAAAAACAAAGATTTATGTTATATAGGTTGAAATTCATAATAAAAGTGTAATTTCACTTATGAAATTATTAAATTATTTTCATAAAATAATATAATTTTATTATAAATGTTTTAGTGAATTTATAAGTTGAATTATACTTTAATTTTATTAAGGGTAAAGATATTTTAATAAATTTATAAGTGGGATTACATTTTTAAATTATAATCTAACATATACTATTTTTTAAGAAATAAATGAAAAAAATATTTTTTTAGTATAAACTTTATTTTTTTTAATAAATTTTGAATATTAAAATTATCAAAACATTATTAATAAACAAATATTGTAAATACATTTATTAAAGTATGTTTGAGATTGTTGTGAGATACTATAGTTGTAATTGTGACCATAATTATAATTGTATTGAACTATGTTATATTATAATTGTAATTAAAAATTGTTTTGATATTTGATTATTTATTTTTTAAAGTATTGTCGATTATATATGGTAAAATTTATTAATTATTAATTAAAATTTTAAAAATATTATATAATATATAATTATTAAAATGGACAACATTTAATACTTCTTAATAATTTAATTTTTTACAATTTATCATGATGAGTTCTTTTGGGTTTCATGGATTTCAAAAGAAAGCAACTTATAAACAACGAATAAGTTTTTAATTTTTTATAAAAATTTTAAATGGATGAGAATATGTTTAAATAAAATATTATAAATTATAATAAAATGAATTAAAGGCTATTGAGTTTTAATAAGTAATTTTATAATTATATTAAATATTAAATGTTATTAAAAAAGTCATAATTAAAAAATTCTAAACTCAAACTTATGATTATATATATAATATTATTCTACAATTTTTGAAAAAAGTGATTTAAAAAAATTATTAAATACATACATATCTAAAATATTATATTTAAAAAAAAAAAAAACACAACCACAATCTCAAATATATCTTAAAAATATTTAAAAAATTTTAATATCTAAATTACACAAAAATATATATAGTCTGTTTCGAAAAAAAAACTTTTCTAAAAATAAATACTGTTTTTTTTTTATCTAAAAATAAATTCTGATAGTAAAATTTTCGGATATTTATCTCTCTTTCTTCATTGTTTTAATGAAAAGGAAGACAACCTTCCTCCAATTTTTTAGAGTACGCAGAAACTTCTATCATTAAAAAATTCAAAAATGTTATAACATAACAACAAAAGAGAATCACCAGTACCGGCAGCACACAAATACTGTATCAATTAATCTCTCATGGGACATTCAGTAATTAAAATTTTGAATCTAATTTAAATTTTTAAATAAGTAAAAAGAGGTTTAAGAAGAGGAAATATTAAATGAATTATAATTTATATTTGAAAATATATATTTTAGTTTGAATGTAAAAAAAAGAAAAGAAAAGAAGTTGGCATGTATTCTAGACTATAAAAGTATTTGTATATCTTTAATAAACATTACCAATCTTCTTATATATTGATTTTTAATGGTATTGATATTTTAGAATTTTATAGTTTAGACTACTAAACTTAAAAAATAAGGTTTTTTTATATCTATATAAAAAAAGTAATTAATCTCAAATAATGATATTATCATCTTAGTAAAATTTGAAATTTGTAGCAGTAAATTTTTTGAAAGGAAGGTAATTTGAGCTGCAGATTAACCAGAACTTACCTTCTTTTATATTCTTCAGTCGAAACAAAAATTAAACTTACAGGAGTTTAATGTATATTGAAAAATCTTTGGGTACTTAATTGCTACGACTACGAAAGTTGGACAGCTTACTTTTTCTCCCAATCACTTCCCATTGAAAAAGGAAAATTGTTGCGCCCTTCGCCTTGCATTGGACGGAAAGGGGGTAAAATGCAATGGCCAAATTATGAGTTGGGCTTCAAAATTGGGAATTTAAATATGGGCCATCGTTTTGAGGCTTAAATGCATAGGCCAAAATATGGGTTGGTCTTTTAAGGAGGCCTCAATTGCTTTTGAGAAAACGAAAAATTAATATGTTTTTGCAATTAAAAATATTATAATGTCTAATTATAATTATTAAATATGTAAAATATATTATATATCATAATTTTATTAAATTTATTTTATGACTATTATTTGATATCTTGATATTTTTAATGCCAAGACCTTTTGATTTTCCCTTGTCCCATTACTTTAATTTGCTACATAAAAATATTCTCATTCCTCATTTAAAAACATTCGGTTATTTTAATTTTTTTAAGGAAAGTTTATTAAAATGACTTAATTTTGAGCGTTTTCTTTTTAATTTTTTAGAGATTCAACTAATATACACTCTTCTCTTCAAGATTTTTTTTATTAAGATTATCATTCATAATCAATTAGTTTTTTTATTAGAATAATATCAATCATGAGTATATTAAGCCAATAACTTAAGTAATTCAGTAAATGCCAACAACTTAAATAACTCAGTAGTCATCTCCTTTCACTAGAAGTAAAAGGTCCCAAATTCAAGTTGCATGGTATCCAAGTGAGGTGGGATAAGATATAAGAGATTATTGCCTCCCATCATGCAATTAAAATAAAAAAAAAATAATTCAGTAATAATTTTTTTCTAATAAAATTAAAAGATTGTGAATTTAAAATATATATCATGCATATGAAATATGTTAAGGGATATGATATACTTACCTCATATTATGTAATTTAAGATAAAAAAAATAATCAATTAGTATATCATTAGTTGGTCATCTTATTAAAAAGTCTTAAAAGTAACTCCAGTAACTTTTTAACTCTAAATTTGAGTTATGTAATATCAAAAACATCCTCGTAACCAACGAGGGATTGGATCAAATGGTAAGCGGCTTGTTCCAGTTTAAGAAAGGTCTCGAGTTTGAAACTTTGTGAACGTAGCAGCTCTTGCTGGGAGACTCATCCACCATTTCCAGGTGTGCGACGCGAGTCGAGTCCAGATTAATCGAGACGAATCCTCGGATACCGGACGGAAACCGAGAAAAAAAAAAGAAAAAAAAAAAAAGAAAACATCCTCGTAACACGGGCAGGTTTACAGTTTAATCTTGTACTTTAAAATATTGAAGGAATTAATTTATGGTCACGTTATTAACAGACTAAATAAATTAATTCTAGCTCTAGCCAATCTATCATCTACGCAGGTAGAGTTATCTCTTTATAGATTTATTTTTTACTTTGGAATGAATAATTAATGGAATGAGATCAAACAGTTACTATTAATGGCCAAAAAAAATGAAGAAGTGCTATTAATTACCAAAAATAAAAAATAAAAAACTGCAAAAACTGGACGGTATTGATACTGTATATATTAAAATTTTCATGGAAAGCAATTAAGTTGCAGTTCTGCTTTCTTCTCCCTATCAGTCTCATGAGAAGAACAAAAGACTGAAATATATGTATGGAAAAACTCCTTCCAAGAAGAAGATCTAAAATCAATTGCCTTGCAGCTTAATTAACCTAAGTACCTTGCCATGGCATTTGACTCCGCTGGTTGTGTTGCCCATATGCTGAAGAAGGATTATTCATGGTATTAAGCCCCGTCGGAAAAGCTCTCAGTCCCAAGAAATCTCTTGTCAAGCCCTCGTTTCCTCCTCTACCTGTTTGAGATTCAGTTGTTTTCTGGAGATTTTCTTGAAAATTACTGTTTTTGTTCCCAGGATTCATCATCGAAGTGAAACCTTGATGAAAAGGTGTAGAAGAGTCAGCAAAACCACCTGGCGGGGGCGAAGAACCCATCATATCGTGGAGGAAAGACTGAGCGGCAGCTGCTGCTGCTGCTCCTTCAGCAGCTGCAGCGCCTGCAGTTACCTAGAATCAAGAACTTGGCAAGTTAATACTCATGAATTTTAAAACGTTAATGATTTCTAAGTTAAGCATTTTAAGGGTACGTGGTTCCAATGTGCACTACCTGTTCCATGAAACTGGAGTTGACGGTAGCTTTGCTCCCGCCAAAAGATGCCACTCCGTGATCAGGAAACGTCAACCCACTTCCGATGTCTTCATGTGCAGTGGTTTCAGACAAGGGTGAAGGTTTACTCATTGTGACGCCCATCTGCGCCGCCTTTTGTAGGAGGGCAGTAGCTGACATGTGCGCGGAAACCGCCGCCTGAAATGGAGGAAGCCCAGAGATAGGGTTGGAGGTAGGGTTTACAAAACCTGCAGCCGCAAACAACTGTGACGATGAAACATCTAACGGCGGCTGAGGAGGACCCGGATAAGCTATCCACTGCGGAACACTGTCTGTTCTTCCACTAAAAAGATGATCCCGTTCTCTTTTCACAGAAAAGGGTTGGTGGAGATTGGCCAAATGGGACAATGAGGAAGAGCCGGCGGCCGGTGGTTCTGCGGAGGGGAGAAGTGGGTTGGCCGCCTTGATTGCCCTGGCGCTTTCCTCTGCTAAAGCATCGCAGAAGGCTCTGTGGGTGATGAAACTGTCCCTTCTGCACCCATAAAAACACAAGCAGAAGAAAACAAAAAGAGCTAATTATCAGAGGGCGCAGGTGAACAGTGCTGTATTACTTTTTGTATATTTCCCATCTTTTTCTTCCCCCACGACAAAAGGCATTGTAGATGTAACCATTAAAAGTTTCCTCCTTAAAGCACTGTTACGGATACCCATTTCAAAAATCGTTTTTCAAATACTCTCAGATATGAAAAGATAGTAATCAACGGAAAAATTAGAAGCCTTAAAATGTAAAAATAATAATAATAATAATAAATAATAAAGATGAAAAATGTTAGTTCTTGATATATATTTTATGCTACTTCTTCAACAACAATGAATTGAAGTGAAGATTTTTGTATATTACCTGGAGAAAAGGGTTCCACAATCACATCTGTACTCTCTGGTGCCACAAATCTTGGAGTGGGCTTTCCAATCTGATTGAACGGCATAACGTTTTGAGCATTTCTCACACTTCCACTTCTTCTCACCATGCTTTCGGCAGAAGTGCTTCTTGATCCCAGTGAGGTCTCCAAGAGCCCTTGATGGGTCATGGTGCACGCAGTTGGGTTCTGGACACACATACACCTTCTTCTTGACCTCTTTGTCTGTTTTTTGCTTCAGCTTCCATGGCAGATTATGCCCTCTTCTATGAAGTTGCAGATTCTGTTCCCTTTGAAACCCTTTGTTGCAGATCTCACATATGAATCTGTTGGTAGCCAACAGTGACTTGGGTGATAAAGCTATAACTTCAGCATCTGGGGCTGATTCAAAATATTCCCAAACCCATATCAGAAAAAGCGAAAAAATTGAAAACCCAGATTTGAAAAGGCCATTTAGGAATTGGGAATCAATCAAAATACTTTCTTTTTTTACCTGGATTGCCTGGAAGGCTTCTCTTCTTCTTTGGAGGGGGTGGTGCTGCTTGATTTGATGAAGCAAAAGACGGTTGTGGGTACATGTTACCAGTTTCAATTCCTGAAGAAGCACTTACTTCACCAGATGTGGAAGTCAAATTGGACATATTCTCATCCACCACAAAACCTCTCATCATCTTTCTGTTCCTCTCTATGTATATTTAATTAGTTGATGACACAAACTACAATGATTCAGTTATGATGAACGAATAACATATATGTCACCTTTTACAAGATACATCTTGAGATCTGAGTGTAAACCCTAATTCAGAAAAGCTAATGAAAGCAAAAAAGGCTGAATCAGCTTCTTCTGCTTCCTTTTTGCTCCAAATTCTTCAACTGGATCACCTCCACAATCTCTCCTCCATTTTCCTTACAAATCTTTGAGAGAGTAGTTGAACTGATAAACAAAAAAGGTGTAAAAATGAGAAGAAAATGGTCTAAAAGAATAAAGAGATGACGAAATAAAAGATGGATATATAAAAAAAAAATTCAAACCTTTTATTTACTAGTTGAATTGAAGACCAAGAGGATCCAAGAAAGAGAAACCCCCAGAACACAAAGAAAGAGAAACAGAGAGAGATATGGATGAGAAGAAGAGGGTATTCCTGAGAGCAACTCCACCCATCTAAAAGACCAAAATGCAAGCCAACATGCTTGTATGGTGACGTTGCACTTTCTGTCTTTTCTTTTGTTCTCTTCTCAATCTTAGTAAACTTCTCCTTTAATTAATGAATTTTACTTTTTATCAGAAAAATCTCTTTTTTCCCTGACAAATCCCAGATTTTATTCACATTTTTACATAATCACAGCATTTTACATGTGAACTAGCTAGCAGAGTTAATGAAATTCATTAAATAACTATATTAAGACTCTGTGATAATAGTGGTTGGCAAGCAACTATCAAGTATAAACTGTTAATTAAGTCTATAATTGGAGGAATAAAATTAAAGTTTGGGTTATAATAGAAACACATACTTGTTATTTAATATCCATTATCAGTTATTAATTATATTTAAATAATTAATCCAAGAGTCTAAAGAGATTGCCTTTTTTTTCAAACTGAACTGGAAGAGATGAGGGCCAAAGAAATAAAAAATCAAGGAGGAATGACAGCACTCTTTCCCTTGAATAAAAAGTAGACAAAAAAATATAAGAAAGTAACAGAATGAAAAGATAGAAGGATTTTACAAAGAAAAAAGTTTGATTACAGGCTTTTTACATGGTGGGTAAAAGAGTTAAAAAGCAAAGCCTATTTCTTCTCTGTGCACTTACATGGGCATGATTGGTTCTGTGATTGAATTCCAACAGACATGCTCATGGAAAACAGTTGCACCAAGAATTCTTTTAGCAGCTTAATCAACTTCATTTAAAAAAGCCAAATCCTGTCACTTTTAGGAGTTTTTCAAATTAAAAATTGTCTAAAAAAAAAGATTTGGGTCGGTCCCCGATATATGCTGCCCAACCCATCATCACTTTTTTTATTCTGCATATGTGTACGAAAGTGTGAACGAGAGAATGGGTTTAAGCAAACTAAAATAGACTAAGTGATGACAATCTCAATTGGGTTTAAGCAATTGGGATGACAGAAGTATATATATGTAATGTAATGCTAATGAATATTTTTACCAAACACAGGTTGGATATGGTGCAGATAAGAAGAATATGTAAGGAGGCAAGTCTGAGAAAGTTGGACACCTGAGATAAGGTGGTCGGACCAAGGAGATGAAAAAAGTTGACTCAAAGTCCCCACACTAAGCACACCCATTCGGAATATTAGGCTACAAATTCATTGTGGCCATGTTTTGGGGAGACTGCTATCTACATGTTTGTAATTCACTGTTTTGGGGAGTCATGTTTTTCTATCTTCACTTTAACAAATGGATTCATACGTGAAAAAGAAATAATTGTTTAATTAGAAACTATAGTAATTAATAATTGGGTTTGTTTTGTCATTTTGCACTTTTCATTTTTATTCATTTGTTTTGTGAATTTTTATTGAGTTCCCTTCTCACCATCTTCTGCCAATACCCTAAAATTAATTTTCGTTTCAAATTACAGTATTTTTTTATTTTGAAATGTAAATTAAAATGTAAATTTCTTCCAATCTCTAACTTGCTACAGCCTAATGGTTATATTTAATTGTCCGTACTTGATATTTTATTTTTTTATTAAAAAGAATTATTAATAAAATTATCAAAAATTAAAAAAAGAAAAAAATTAAGATTGTTTTTTCATGCAAAAAAGAGGTACATGAAGTTGTCACATCGGCCTTTCATGTCAAACCGACCATTATTATTGCTCCATGAATATTAAATTATAATATCTTTTATATATAAAAAAACGGAGATAATTTGTTGGGACTTGGGGGATAGGATAGAGCCATAGAGGGCAATGAATTAAACCCTGGACGAGCGAGGGGAAGACCCACAAAATGACCACCACATCCAATAATTCAACGGCAATTTTAGTTTTAAAAAATTTGAGTGATTTTGAATTTAAAATATTATATATGTACATATTAAAGTTTTATTTATATATAAATTTTATATATTATATTTTTATAAAATTTTAATTTTTTATTTTTAATTGTTAAATTTTATTTATTTTTATTAAAAATAATTATTTTTATTTTAAAAAATTTAAGAGATCTCAATTATTAAAAAATAATTAATAATTAATAAAATAATTAATATTTATTATTTATCATATTAAAATTAATTTATTGCTCCATCAAATAAATTAATTTATTGTCAAAATTTTTCAAATATCATAATTAACAATTAAAAAAACTATAAATTAAGAAAATATTTGTAAAATTATATAATCTTAAAAAAATATATTGATGGTAATAAAGTAATAAACACTGCCGTGCAATACCCATCATTCATCAAAGTAAATTACATATAATTGAGGTTTTGGTCCTCAAACATTTCAAAAATTACATCGAAACCACTCGGGCAACATTAATTAGTGGATCTAAGTTAACCCAACTAAGTTTAAAATTGTCCATGAATGGAAGGGTCAGTGCTGGAAAAATAAATTTATGGAAGAAATTGAAGGACCAAAATTGAAAAGTTGAGGGAGGGAGAGGGATCAGCCGGTGTATCAAACAAAAAGGTGAAAAATGTAAAATAGCCAATTAGCAAAAATTATACGAGTCTTTCCCATTGCTAAGATCCAACAGGAGCTATGCTTTTGTATTTTGCTGCGGCAGTCGCTGAAGCAGCTGCCGCAGTATCGGTTTGTGCAACCGCTTGCTGGCTCTGTCGTTGTTCCTGCGGCTGGGAACTGACTTGGGCAAGCAGAGCTTTAATCTCATTTCCTGTAAGGGTCTCGCGCTCAAGCAGAGCATTAGCCAGGGCGTTGAGTTCTTTGCTGTGGGTGGTGAGAATAGTTTTTGCATTGTTATAAGCTCTGTCCAACAAGAATTTCACTTCTTTCTCAATCAGGAGCCTGGTCTCCGAACTCATGTTATTGCCATTGTCATTATAATTATGTGTCACTAGTCCAACTTCCTTACTCATGCCGTACTTTGTAACCATTGTTCTAGCAAGTCTAGTTGCACTCAAAAGATCTGACGATGCACCAGATGAAACTTCATTTTCTCCAAAGATGATTTCTTCTGCAACTCGCCCCCCCATGCTAACATCAAGCCTTGCGAGCATCTGCTTGCGTGAGATGCTAATTTGATCCTTTTCAGGCAACTGAGATACCATACCAAGAGCATTTCCTCGGGGTACTATTGTTGCCTTGTGAACTGGAAGAGCCTCATCAGTATAGATGGCAACAAGGGCATGACCACCCTCGTGGAAAGCTGTCATCCTTCGTGACTCATCTGAAATGAAAGCTGACTTTCGTTCACTTCCCATCAATATCTTGTCCTTTGCATACTCTAGATCAGCCATTGTGACTGCTTTGGCACCATCCATTGCAGCCTTAACAGCAGCAATGTTGACTAAATTGGCAAGATCAGCACCAGAGAACCCAGGGGTTCCTCTGGCAATGATCATTACATCAACATCTTCAGCCTTCAAGACCTGTAATTGCACCAATATATATGAATGGTCATTCATACACATCTAGGCATAATAATTCAAACAGCAATAACATATGGTCACCCTTAGCCAAATAAATTTTACAGCAATAGGAATAGAGCGTATGCCTGGTTGTCTACTGCCATAACAAACTATAATAGATGCTCCATTCAATCTTAAGGTCCCTGGTACTAATCTCAGCACCATTCAGGACCCGCAGGATCAGCACCAGCCATTTGTTGCCTCATGCCCAAACATGTAAAAAAAAAAGGGAGAGAAGAGAAAAGAAAAGAAGAGAAAAGAATTAAAAAAAAAAAAAAAAAACTTTTTATGAGAAAATATAATACCCTTGACATGTGGAGTTCCATAATTTGCCTCCGACCTTCCACATCTGGATTAGGAACAACAATGTGTCGGTCAAATCGCCCAGGTCTCACCAATGCCTTATCTAAAGATTCTGGAAAATTTGTTGCAGCAATCACAATAATTCCATCATTCAGTTTAAATCCATCCAATTCAACAAGCAACTGATTCAAAGTCATTCTCAGGTACTGCTGATCCTTAGCATTTCGTTTTCCTCCTATGGCATCTATCTCATCAATGAATATAATACATGGGGACCGCTTCTTTGCAGCAGCAAAAAGATCCCTCAACCTTCGAGCTCCCACCCCAACAAACATTTCTTCAAACTCGCTACCACTGCATGAGAAGAAAGGTACTCCAGCTTCTCCAGCAATAGCTCTTGCTAACAAAGTTTTTCCAGTCCCAGGTGGGCCAACTAGCAAGACACCTTTTGGAAGCTTCCCACCAAGTCGAGTAAAGCGCTATACCATGGAGAAGCACAAGGAAACGAAGGGGAAAAAATCAACCTTTCTATATAGGCAAGAAAATATAAAAGGGAAAAGAATCGTAAACTAGGGAAAGAAAAGAACAATACTTAAGATGAATATCATCTAAAACATTTATAGTGATGCTTGATGATTTAAATTTTGCAACAAATGTAAAGTCCATAATATTGTCTTTTCTGGTTTATGACTTGTAACCCAAATTAAAGTCACATAACAGGTCTTTGGGCTTATTAAACTATGGACACATTGTGAAGTCACCAAAGTCTATGTGGGAATGTGGATACTTATATGCATGCATGTTCGAGGAGAGAGAGAGGGTACAAGAGTTGTCAGATGCAACAAATAGAATACCTTAGGATCTCGAAGGTAGTGGACAATCTCTACTAGCTCTGCTTTTGCCTCATCAACACCCTTTACATCACTAAATTTTGTGTTAGATTCCATGGTAGGCTGCACTTCTTCATGTAAACCAAGTCCTGGTTTTTGAAAAATAAAAGAGAAAGAATTTCATTAATCCAGGAGATACACAGAACATATAATTAGAAGAAACGCTGTTAAATTAAGTTCTACCTTTGCCAATCCCCCTATCCTCAATGAGTGCTCCTACACCAGAAATCAACAGAAAGCCAAGTGCAATAGCCCGAATAGTACGCCACAACTGCTCCTTAAAATTACTTCCTCCTGCAGTCACCATATGAATAGGAGCACCAGAAGTTCCAAGGATACCATCTTTAGTAGGTTTTCCTACTTTCCGGAAAGCTGAAAGGCCTACTATACCTTGTCCCCCTCCTGCTGAGTTAGCAGCACCTGAAAATTTAGTATGCATCCTCAATAAACCAAAACTAATAATGGTACAAAAAAGAAGTGGCAACAGCAGAGAAGAAAATGACCTCACAACTGCTAAGCAGAGAATTAAGCAATCCATAAAATCAAAAACTAAATTTTATAGCTTCTTTTTAGCAAGAAGAACACAAACAATTATTCAGATTCTAATGACTCTGCTGTCTTTCCTTTTGATAGTCTGCAGGACTCTAGGGTCATGTTTGGAATGATATGTCAAGCAACGAGGGTCCAACTAACATTATCATGCTGACGGTAAGGCATATCTCCAAGCTACAACAAGGAGAACACCTTGGAAAACCACTCACCTCTCTGCAATGCCTTCAGCAACTCGCTTTCTTCCAACCTGTCAACTTTGATCAATGCTTTAACATATTCCGACAATGCGGAAGGATTAGAATGTAAAGATGGCTGACTTTCAAACATCCTAATCACAGCTTCAGGGTCATTTTGAAGGTAAAGCATTCGAAGCTCTGTTGATCCACCGGCTTCATCTGAATCACGCAATCTGCGACCAAAACTGCTAATATAGCTTGACTTAAACCTCTGCTGACCATGCAGAAGACTATTCACTGCATCAAATGAAAAAAACAGAAAGAGCTTGTCTTAATAATCACCAAGCAATAAGAGAGCCAAAAAAAAGCGAAGAAAAAAAGATGCACAAACCTCCACTGCCTCCATGATTGCTTGCAGAAAAATGGGTTCTAATCAGTAAAGTTTTTAACTGCCTCAAATCTGATTGATGCTTTGAAACCTGTTGAAACAAGAAGATGAAGTGCATTTTAATGGAAGATTTTAAAACTCAATCCCCTTCTCGTTAAGCACGGACTCGTAAATTTCAAAATTTTAGAGTGGAATAAAACAAATTTTCAGTTTCTCCCCTATGAAATCATGAAAAGGAATGAAATTTAAGCTAACCTGTGTGATTAGAGTTTTCCAAGCCATTGCCGAAGCAGGGAGCGAGAATGTCTGATCCTTCGAAGCTAAACTCCTCCTCTTGTTAGAAGTACATGGGCTGAGGGCTGAGACGAGGGATGATGGTGCGTTTGGTTGTCGAGAAAACGAAGGAAAATAGGAGCCGAGGTAGAGGGAAGAAGAAGAAGGTTCACGCGTGATTGATGAAAACAAGCAACGAAACAGAAGGGTGAGTTGCGACTTGTGAGATTTGAGGGTATGGCTTTGCCCCCTCTCCCTCTCCCTCACAACGAGAAGTTCTTTACTCGATATTTACGTTTCATGAATCGGCGAAATGCCCAATATACCCTTTTGGATATTTTGGAGATTTTGATTTAACCATTTTTGTAATTAAAAACAAAGATTTATGTTATATAGGTTGAAATTCATAATAAAAGTGTAATTTCACTTATGAAATTATTAAATTATTTTCATAAAATAATATAATTTTATTATAAATGTTTTAGTGAATTTATAAGTTGAATTATACTTTAATTTTATTAAGGGTAAAGATATTTTAATAACTTTATAAGTGGGATTACATTTTTAAATTATAATCTAACATATACTATTTTTTAAGAAATAAATGAAAAAAATATTTTTTTAGTATAAACTTTATTTTTTTTAATAAATTTTGAATATTAAAATTATCAAAACATTATTAATAAACAAATATTGTAAATA